AATGTCAGGGCAGGAGAGATGGAATGGGCAGGCAGGCCTTATGGTAAGGTCACACAGTGACTGACGACAGCCACTACCCACAGACCAGAGTCCCTCAGGGCGCGGAGTCTAAGCCCCAGGCTACCCTTCACCAGGGCCCCTGATGGTGGGGATGGACTTGATGCAGCCGAGACCAGGTCACAGCCTCCGAGTAACCTCAGCTGCGGTAACGACTGCTGTCAATGGCGCACCGCTGGTGGGAGCTAGATGGGAAAACGTATAGCGTGGTCAGACACGCCGGGTCTATAACAACGAAGCAGACCGTACAAGACGGTAGGCAAAGAATACTCAGGTCACAGGCCGGGTTCAGCAACGGGGGGTCAGGTAAAGGGATAAAGCAGAGAATAGTCTTGTCCAAGCCGAGTCGGTTACCAGGAGAGCAACGAGAACAGAACAAGAGCTTGCTGCAAGGGAACATAAAGGACACGAATGCAAAGAGCAAGTGCAGACAACAGTCTTAAATGTGATCAACCACACCCCTCTGGGGGAGGGACTGCAGAGGCCTGAAAGCATAAAAGGCTCCCACCATGCTTTGCAGAAACCCAAGGTGGATGCCAGCACATGGGAGCAGCACAACTCTGAAGAAAGGTAGGACCCTGACACAAGATGAATGCAGAATGCTATCAGAAAATACTAGCAGATTATTTGCATTCTTCTGTACGAAAGCTGCGCATGAGACGCTTGAACTTTCCAACACGACTGGGACCCTAAGCACGAGGCCAAGTTGACCCTCCACTGGTTAAAGCAGAACAAGGTGAAGGATCTGGATTGGCCATCACAGTCTCCTGACCTTAATATCATTGAGCCCCTCAAACCTGCGGTTCATGCAAGACGACCAAAGACTTTGCATGATTTGGAGGCATTTTGCCAGAAATGAATAGGCAGCTATACCACCTGCAAGAATTTGTGGCCTCATAGACCACTATTAAAAAAGCCTGCACGCTGTCATTGATGCTAAAGGGGGCAATTCACAGTATTAAGAACTAAATGGACGCAGGCTTTTGAACCGAGGGCATTTCATTTCTTTATTTCTTGCCATGCCATGTTTTATGATTGCGCCATTCTGTTATGACCTACAGCTGAATATGAATCCCATAAGAAATAAAAGAAATGTGTTTTGCCTGCTCACTCATGTTTTCTCTAAAAATGGAACATTCTGTATATTACCAATTCTCCAAAGGTATGTAGACTTTTGAGCAAAACTGTAAATTGTAACTGTGACATGGACTCTATGACAAGATTTGGGAGCTCAGGTGTGTTTCACGTGTCCCACAATCATTGGAAAAAGTTTATCATTATTTGTAGGCTAAAGCAACATTATTCAAGAGAACACTAATGGCAAAAGGATGGATGGACAGTGAAAGAAAAGATTAGTAAAGCATTGTTGAATTTTCTAATGAATGAACTTGTTAAAGTGGACCATTCAGTACATGAATCACAACATGTCACAGAATACAATATTGGAGCAAGTTACTAGGTGAGAGGCAGCAGCAGGGCCTGATCAGTATCAGCCATTTGTAAATACAGGCAAGAACTGCACAGGCACCAGGATTTACATATTTGTATCATCTCTAAGCTGACATCACAACCCAAGAAGTAGTTAGTGACCCAGGATGATGTCTGAACTAAAGTGGCTCTGGGCAAGATTTACTAAAACTGGAAGGTGCCAAATCTAATGCAGCTCTGCATAGAAACCATTTTCCAGGTTTTGTTGTCAAAGCTTAATTGAAGAAGCTGAAGTTAGAAGCTGATTGGCTACTCTGCATAGCTGCACCAGATTCTGAGTGCTCCAGTTTTTTGAAATCTCCCCTTCTGTCTTTCTCAAGAGACAAGCAGGTGACAGCATAGCCAGGGGGAGTACTGTGATCCCTACGAGAGATAATAAATACCTGGAAGTATTACACTTACACATGGTTTAGCCTGTATGCAGTTAAAATGAATAAATATATTTGACGTTAGATACTGGATAATTTTTTATTGTGGCTGTATTCCGTATATTACAAGTCTGGGTAGTCAAATTTGGCCTGTGTATTTCCGGTATGTTTGTGGCTGTGAACAACCACATGTATGTATATTTGTGTCTGGACGTTTAACAATGTGATTGCATGCGTCAGTATTTGAACCTGCGCCATGACCCTACATCTGCACCACTTCCTCTCACTAGCTGAGAAAAATCAGAGTGCAGAATATGGTATGAATGAGTATTTTCTTTCCTTTTCAGACTATAAACTCTGGTGTTGTTTTCAGCCCCAGATGCTGGGTTTTTACTTGTCATTCAAACAATAAACGAAATAACATTTGAATTACAGATTTCCATCATGGTAGACAGTTTATTGACGTTTGACAGACAGCAGAGCAAAAGTCCGCTGTGCAAGACGCAGTCACCGCACTCCTACTATATGGAGGCATGGAGTGATGTACCTGATGTGGGCCTTTATGACCTACATGACAAGGCCTACTGCCTGTGCCAAATGAAGCAGAGATACAAGTGCCAGATTATCATGAATCATACATATCAGACCGTTAAATGGCTTAAAGGCCAACTTCAACTGATTCACCAGGTTGCTGGCAAGTTGACATTGTTTCTTATATCTCAGAGATATCCCTTATGAAAAATTCCTTATGTCTTCTTTTAATGTTATTACAAAGCCAAATGATAGAATCACACTACTCTGATGGATTCTACATTAGAATGAGCATATTACTGGGAAGTCCAACTGTAACACCCTCAATATGGCCTTGTTCGAAGATAGGGGTTTCACATTACTGTACCAATGTGTTCTACTGAAGGCTTGAAAAGTGGATGGAAGCTATTTGCAAAAGATAGGCAAACATAGACTAGTTTTGTTTATTATTGTGAAACGTACCAGTATACTCATGAACACCCATAAGAAATGTCTAACTGTCTGCACCCCATGCATCCAATATGCTCATGCCTCACTTTCACTTGAAACGTTTATAAGGTTCCTACTTTAGAGAGGAGCCTAAGTTGACTTTCCACCCTTCCTTCCCTTTCTTTCTTCCCCATTCTCTTTCTCCAATTTTCCTTTCTTCATTTACCTTGCTTCTTTTTGTTTGGCTAATTTCCATTATGGGCCATGCCCCCCCCCCCCCCATTCACATGTTAACACCTCTATTTACATTTCACACCTTTACTATGGCCATGGGAGAGGGTAGGGGATTCATACTACTGTAGCAATGCTTCCTATGAAGTCTTGAAAAGTGGAAGGAGGAAATTTGCGAAAGTCAGGCAACACATAGACTCATTTTTTTTGTTAGCGTGAAGCTTACCAGTATACTTATGAACACCCATATGAAATGTCTTACTGTCTGCACCCCATGCTTTCAATATGCTCACGGCTCACATCCACTTGAAAGCTTTGCTTGCTTATAAGATTTCTATTTTAGAGAGCAGCCTAAGTGGGCTTCCAGTCTCCTTTCCACCCTTCCCCTTTCTTTACTTCTCTTTCTTTCTTCCCTGCGTGCCTCGCGTGTGGCTATAGTAAGCAGCCGGATCACCTTACAAGTTGTACTGACTTTCAGGGCAAATATTCTTCTTAGCCCAGATTGTACTGTCCTGTGCTAGGATGGTGGCCAGAGAGACCCGGCCCATCCACCCTCCTGCCTGTGCCTGTTCAACCCCCTCACATCCAGGGATTTCCTCACGCTGGCCCCTCATTCCTTCCTGGGTCAACAGCCAGATTTTCACAGAAAATTTCTACTATGATCTCCCCAGGTTTGACTGTGGATCACATCCCTTGTGCAAACATTCACACTAATTTCTTTACTGTATAAAGTAGAGCGGAAGCATAACCATTCCAACTTCATTAATCCACAGCTGTTCTCAACAACAGTAGTAGGTAGTGTATACCTGCAGTGCCTACTCAAAAGTTTAGCCCTGCTTTCATTAGTTACCTGGTAGGTTAAAGATTGATTTAGTTTTGTAAAACAAAATGTTTGTGAGTATAATCAGCTTAATTTATGTAATGTTATTAACATGTAAATTTTTTAAATAAAAAACAGTTACAGTTTTTGATTGTATCACATGCGGTAGCCACAATTGCTCCTTATATATATATATAGTATATGTGCTGTGCCTATTGCTTAGTAGTGTCACAAGGAGATGGTCCTTTTTCCATGTATCCACAGATGAGCACTGTTGGAGTTGGACAGCAAGCAAAGCTGTATGCTGAAGTGATCGAGGGGAAGGCCCCCTCTAAGATAAAGGATGATACTTGTATGAATACATTTTAGAAAGTGCTGATTGTTCTGTGTTTACAAAAATTAACACAAAGGGGGAGGGGGGGGGGGTTATAGTCCTATTCATCAAACTGTTCCTGATCTATGGGTTTAAAAGCTTGCTCAAAACACTTGCATGTCCTGGCAGTCTTCAATTTCCTCTACCTGAGCCAGGGGTTAGGAAGTCTACAGAAGATTGCCGATCTCAAGGTAACAGGAGGACAACTGCACTGAGAAGTAGCTGAAATGGGACATTAAACGCATGGATCAAAGGATGGCCACACCGCGTTCAGCCCTTCCTCTAGCATTTGGTGGAATTCTCCTTAAATAAACCGGTCATTAAAATGAAGCTGTATTCTGTTTTTCAGGGATTATACATTTTGAGTTATGAAGCAATGTTTAATGACGTCCTTTCCAACCTACCTCTGAGATAACAAGGAAAGCCTTCTAGAAAATGTTCAGTTGGTTTGAGCAGACACACATTAAAAGAAAACTGTAATGTATAGCTTGTTTAAAATGATGCCTCGGAGCTGGCCTAGCAGCCATGTCCATGTATGTTTTCTCTCCTAAATAATCTTGGCTAAGCTGCTCTAGAGCAGAAGTCCAACCTCACTGTTCCAGCATGTTCATGTTTGGACTTAAAGCTAGACAACCACAGAAGGGAACTGCTGTCTGATTTGACATGCCTCTGTGTGGTTTAACTGTGTTTTTCTTTCCCACAGATTCTAATAGAATTAGAAACTGCACTTTTAGATGATGAGCCACATTGGTACAAGCTACAGACGCATGACGTGTCTTCATTACCACTACCCCACCCATCTCCCTTTATGCAGCGGAGGCAGATGCATGGGGAAAGCCCGACCAGAAGATTGCAAAGTAAGTCTTTAAATTACAATAGCATATGCAGATCAGAGTCTTGGCTGCATGAGCCCAACCCATTGAATTTAGGGAAAACTAGAAAAGTGTTCCTGGCAACCACATTCCAGTTATAAGGTTTCTAGTGCCTGCTGGGAAGTAAAACAGGTCTTCAGTTACTGTGGTTATTTTTCATCTTGTATTGTTGTACTGTATATGAGGCCACAGTTATGTAATGTGCTACGCATATAAAATGTTCTTCACTAGAGCAGATATTGATGTGCTAAATTCAGTAACCCTATCCCCATCACAATGAACCTTTAGGTGATCTGATCATGGTAACCTGGAATGTTGTTGCTATGGGAAAGTTCACTTTTCATGTCATCTTTGCACTGCTTTGTGAAATAGGCCTGATTATGGTCCCACTTCTATAATTCATCTTTTGCCATCAGATTGGTCATTTTTTCTTTTCTATGTTACATATTCACATAATTGAATTAAGAGTGAATAAAATAGAACATTCCAGATATACTCAGGATATTGTAACATTTTCTTGTAGTAGATGTTTTTCAGTCATGAGACTTCCTAAAAAGTATCCCAGTGAACAAAACTAGAAAATACAACACTACTTCCTTTTATGCGTGGTTTTTGTATTTTTATTTCCTGTATCTTATAGCATTGACTTATTGTGCAAGACTCAATATAGTAAATCGACCAAATCACATCACCCTATTGTCAAAGGAGCTTACACTCACTGGCCACTTTATCAGGTATACCTGTTCAATTGCTTGGTAACACAAATTGCTAATCAGCCAATCACATGGAAGCAACTCAATGCATTTAGGCATCTAGAGGTGGTGAAGACAACTTGCTGAAGTTCAAACCGAGCATCAGAATAGGGAAGAAAATGGATTTAAGTGACTTTGAATGTGGCATGGTTGTTGATCGCAGACGGATTGGTCTGAGTATTTCAAAAACTGCTGATCTGCTGGAATTTTCACACACAACCAACCGTCTCTAGGGTTTACAGAGGATGGTCCAAAAAAGAGAAGATAGCCAGTGAGCGGCAGTTGTGTGTGGACGAAAGTGCCTTGTTGATGTCAGAGGAGAGTGGGCAGATGGGTTCGAGATGATAGGTAACAGTAACTCATACCAATATGGACCAAAATCTCTGAGGAACGTTTCCAACACCTTGTTGAATCTATGCCATGAAGAATTAAGGCAGTTCTGAAGGCAAAAGGGGGGTCCAACCCAGTGCAAGCAAGGTGTAGCTAATAAAGTGGCAGGTGAGTGTATATTACACAGTGATAGGCTGGTTTCACAACCTACAGTATGTGCAAGCGCTGGACACGTATTGTGCATATGTTTTGGAGGTGCTTCCATTTATTTCTAATGGGCACCCAACATACATCCATGTACTAAACATCACACCTGACCCTGAACATGGTGGTGGTGGTGTAATGGTGTGGGGATTTTGCTTGGATATGCACTTTAGAAGACTTTTTGCACCTATGTGTATGCGTCATCAGGCACATTGCTTGAAGCATCAACACTGTTGTAGTACCTGGGCCTATTAGTTTTCTGTGGGTCCTCAATGAGCTTTCAAACTTCAAAATGTACCCCTGATTCTTTTTTCCCCAAGGCATCACAGTGCATGTTTTTTCATATGTATGCATTGCAGTACATTAAGGGTCAGGTGTGATGTTTAGTACCTGGATGTGTGTTGGGTGCCCATTAGAAATAAATGGAAGCACCTCCAAAACATATGCACAATAATGATAATTCTTTGTGTCATAGATTCAACAAGGTGTTGGAAACATTCCTAAGAGATTTTAGTCCATATTGACATGAGTTACTGTTGCCTTTCTATCATCTTGAACTAGTCTGCCCATTCTCCTCCGACATCAACAAGACACTTTCGTCCACACAACTGCCAATCAATGGATATTTTCTCTTTTTTCGGACCATTCTCTGTAAACCCTAGAGATGGTTGTACATGAAAATCCCAATAGATCATCAGTTTTTGAAATATACAGACCAGCCCGTCTGGCACCAACAACCATGCCACGTTCAAAGTCTCTTAAATCCCCTTTCTTCCTCATTTTGATGCTCGGTTTGAACTTCAGTAAGTCGACTTCACCACGTCTACATGCTTAAATGCATTGAGTTACTACCATGAGATTGGCTGGTTAGCAGTTTGTGTTAGCAAGCAATTGAACAGGTGTACCTAATAAAGTGGCCGGTGAGTGTAGACAGATCAATAATAGAATTCCCATGTTTACTTCAGTTTTACTTTGATTTAACCAGGATTAGGGAATTTTGTAGTAATGTAGTACAAATCCTTTACATATTGTATGTAATGTATTTTGTACTGATGCCTTCTGGGTAAGTATTACAAATCTGAAAATAGACCACTTATTAACTTAAAGTGGTTGTAAAGGCTCAAGGTTTTTTACCTTCATGCATTCTCCGAGCAGCTTCCCCCCCCCCCCCAGCCCCCCCTAATACTCACCTAAGCCCCTCTTGATCCAGCAATGTGCACTGGAGTCTCGACTATCCCAGGACTCCCTTTCCCAATTGGCTGAGACAGCAGTGGTAACCATTGGCTCCCACCGCTGTTAATCATAGCCAGTCTGCCAATGAGAAAGAGGGGGCAGGGCCAAGTTGCAGCCCCATGTGTGAATGGACACATGGAGCAGCGAGTGCCCTCATAGTAAGCTGCTTGATGTGGGGGCACCCAACAGGAGGGAGGGACCAGGCGCATGGGCGGGGGACATGAGAAGAGGAGGATCCAGGGTACTCTGTGAAAATTCACTGCACACAGCAGGTAAGTATAGACATATTTGTTTTTTTTTTTAAATCACTTTAGAATCACTTTAAGAAATACCATTTGTAGCCCCACAGGGATGATATTAGATAGGCATGCTGACTCCAGATAAATAAGAGAAAACTACTGTTAGTACACATTAGAAAATAATGAAATATACAATATTTTTATAAATATTCCTAAAATAAATTCCCAAATACTAGAAATACAAATACTTTGTGTACTTTATTTTAACCTTCAGTTTTCAACACTTTTCTACGTGTGTAATGAGTTAGGGCCCATTCCTATGGGCATCTAAAAAAGTCAGATAGACACAGCTCATTTTCCAGCTCTTACATGTGTATCCATGCATGTTTGACAGTCTTTTCATCTCTATGATGAATGGAGTTGTCATTCCTGTGTAGCACTGCAGTGGATATTGGTGGGTTAATAAAATGAAAAGAACTCACCTGCTGATGTCAGCTATAGGGCTAAGGTGAGTTTAGGGAGAGTGATGGCTGCCACACAGACATGTAGGTGCTGGATGGTATGGTGAGTCTACCTGAGCTCAGGGTCCCTTCATATTTGTTCTTTTTTTTGTCCAGATGTGATGTGTTATGACGCTTAATAATGTGCAATGTTAAGTGCACTGCAATGTGTGGTAACACATGGCAAGATGCTTTTTGAAGCACTTCTATTGATTTCAAAGGAAAATGTATCTGCCAAAAACAGACAAGTGTAAATGGGCCCACACATCTTCTATGGTGCAATACGGTCCATTTCACTCACATACTAACTCAATTCTATACAGTGTAGAAGAAGTTGGGTTTTATTATCCTTTGATTTTTTTTTCAAAGTGTTTTATTTTCTAGCATACATGCCAGAATGACATTGTTTACATTTTTAGCATTGTTTGATTCTAGCATTCAGTGCTTTGGTTGTATGCTGTGAAATACAAGTGTATTGCATGTATCATGTGTCTACACATTATAGGGGTGATTTACACAAGGAGTCATTTTTAATCTGTGTCTTTTTCAAAATCCCGGTCAGTTGCAGTTCACCTAAAACTGGTCGGTCTGTGTCCTTAACAGAAACCAGATTCTATGGGCCAGATTGAAAATTACTTTATTAAATAACCCTCATATATATGCACACTTACTGAATTTAATCCATAGGTTCCTCACACTGTGTTATCTGCCTGGCTGAACAGTAAGAACACTTTTTGCCTGAAAGAGAACCTGTCATTTAAAAAAAACTAAGGCTTGGAGTAAACACCATATAAAGTCTGTGCTATCTCTTCAAGCTCCCTCTGCCTAGGAGGGCACAATAAAAATCCCAACCAGTCTATGCAGATGTATTATGCTTCAGAGAAAGTCCTCTGCATGCTGGAGCAGAGTGTGACACTTTCATTCAGCTCCACTGCCAATTATATCAGTGCTGTGGAACCAGTATATGGCCACGTTTGCTTAGAGCAGGTCATAGTTTTACTGTCCTGGCAGACAGGGCACACAGATAGATCACTTTGAACATGAGAACATGGCTCACTTGCCATCTGAGCTCTGCCATAGAGATAGTTCACGTTTAAGTCCTTGACCTATTTCCTGTGTACCCAGCGCCATATTTATACTTTCTGCCTCTTAGGCAAACTGTCTTGTGCTGTACCCCTCCTAAATTTGGTATCATATTAGCAAGATTACTTAATACACTCTGAGGTTGTGAGGAGGGAAGCATGTGGATAAAAGAAATGGTTTGCCCACTTTGCATCATTACACCTAGAACTAATGGCTTGAAGGGTAGTGCAAACCTTTGGTTTGAGGTGTACAACCCCACCAGCAAAAACTCAAAGGCATTGCAGGTAGAGAAACAATAAACAATATAGGGAGCCATCCCTATAACACTGGCAGTCAAGGGGGATGTCTGGAATCCTTTTCCATGATCATGTGTTATACTGACCACAACATATTGTGTGGGCTACTGTGTTCCACCTCTGGCAACCCTGCTGCTTTAGGCTATGGCCTATGTTGGCTGCAGAGGAATCCAGCACTTAAAGCACATTGTGTTGGGCTAAAATAAGCTCTGTGAAGAGTTGGGTGGATCATGTTAATTACGTTTGCTCTACTCAAGGTTTTCCTTGTGCACCTTGCCTCTGTACTCCGTGCAGATGCAACACATGCTCAGATGGGTGCCCACAGACATCGGGTGACAACAGAAAAAA